ACCAAGTTCACCTTGATGTTGACAAATACGTAAGACGATGTGAACATCAACTAAAAAGATATGTAATGTGATTCGACTGTAATGTGATATATGCATTGATAATTAAAATCTCTATTCAAGTTAAACCAACTGTATCTATATCTGTATTTAAGTCTTACGTCGAGCTGAATACATTTTAGGATTTATTGTCATTAAAACATCTATTGGTGGTTAACAGTGTGTAACTAAAAACTAAAATTGGATCTTATTATTGCCAATGATATAATGTACCTTGAATTTTTTATCACGAAGTCTATCGCATCCAGATATTTAAAGCGCGTTTACAATATATTCATTTTTTTGTTATTTCAGGATGGATATATCGTAAAATTCATCTTCATTTGACGAACTACACCCAAACTACAGTGTAAACACGGTTTGGAGACTGTATCTGAACTACAGTGTACATCGAACTACAGTATACATCATGCTTTAGAGACACTATCTAATATCCCACAGGAAAAATGACGATTAATTTAATATCCGCCAATTTGTGTTGCTGCTATTTTGTATTTTCAAAATTTATCTTCAAATTCAGAGACATCGAAAACCATATAAAGGACATAGCAAAAGTCATATCTTACGTATCTTAAAAGATGCCCTTTAGTCTACCAAATTTATAGGTTTTTTGTTAAATTGCCTTTGTTACCAAATTCGGCAGCCATTTTGAAAGAAATGCCCGGCACCACATGGAAAATACATTTCTTTAATTGATGTTTGTCAAATTCGATTTCCGCACATTTCACGTACATAACCACGATATAATGGCCGAACATTACGTACATCAGATAAACTACTTTTAAAGCCCAAAACTGTTCAACTAGTCTCCTATGACCAGCGCTCTTTTAGTTATCAAGCACCTGTTTTATGGGATAATCTACCATTTAGTTTAAGATGTTGTACATCTCTATATTGTTTTAAAAAACAACTTAAATCACATTTATTTAATGAGGCTTTTAACTGACTATGTATACAATTGTTAACATGTCCATAATCTTGTTGTTTATTTGATTACATTGTCACTTTGAAAAGTGCCCTGAACATGTTTTATGAAAGGGCGCGCTATAAATATGCTGTAATAATAATAATAATATTACCAAATTTGGCGGCCATTATGAAAGAAACGCCCGGCACCATATAAAAAATGCTTCTTTTTTTTTAAATTGATGTTTGTCAAATTCGATTTTTCGGCACATTTCGCTTGCATAACCACTCTGTGTTTGAGGAATTTAAAAAGAAATCATTTATAATCCAACGAGTAAATAGTAAAACACACTGATTACGAGATATCGCTCTCAGAAAATTCCCCGATTTTGGGTATGATTTTGTTTGATATATTTATCACTGAACCAAACTGCATTGGTTTCTTTTGCATTTTTTTTAGGGTAAAACGTTATCCCTCACCATGACGTCATAGCTTTTATGGCGTCATAATTGGGACCCAAAATGGCGCCTGGAAATGAGTTGTCGTAACTTTCCCAGTCTACTCGCTCATGTGCTCATCGTTGTATACCAACTATCGTTGAAAAAATCAATTTACGTCGATTTTGAACATTTTAAAAGCCGTAGATGGATTCGGCGCCCAAGAAAAGATATAAATAAACACCAAAAACGTGGAAATCAATCAACTTACAAGTTGAATCGTTTTGGCGTAAAACACCTGTTTCGGCGAGATGACGTCATTGTGAGTCACACAGTCGTAATGACGTCATGCACGACCATTGAAATCATTATTTTTTGAGTGTGCTTGTCCTGTATTTTCCCCAAAACGTAACTGATGTTCTTGTATTAGAGAATTCCCTAATGACTGTATTCCAAAAACGGCAAAAAAAAAACCCCAACATGACGGACATCGATGACGTCATCAGCCGCTACGACGTCATGAATTACGTCGACCAACCATGCAATGTGAAGTAGATGTCAATATGGTTATGTGTAAGAATATTCAGTTCAATATATTCACGGTGTATGATTTTATCCATACTTTAATTTTAGTGAGTTAATTCTGCAACGTTTTTAGAAAAAATTGCTATTAATTTGGCCAGTACTGTATGTGATATCACAATGAATGCATAAAGTTGAATCACAATGTCATTGTATTAATTCATAATAAAAATTGACGTCAAACGAGATGTTGAATTTCTCTGTTTACAAAGCTCAATGTGTATGTATAAACGCCAAAATGACCATATAGACCCTGCGGGAGGGGGGGGATACATCGTCTCAGGAACCGAGCAACCCCCCCCCCCCCTGCAAAAATTCCTGTTGAAAACTAAGAATTTATATGTATACTGTACTTAAACCATTTTAACAAATAGCCTACTATAGTTTTCTACATAATATTGTAGAAACAATGTTCTATACTACAGATTTCATAAAGTGGCGATGTCTTCTATTCATACTATAGTTTACAATAGGATTTAGTGATGCACTTGTTTGAATTATGTAAACTTTTCCAAAATAATTTTCCTGGATGCAGTTTTCCTTAATTTATTGTGATACCAAATGACAAACTAAAATAAGCTTCCCAAGAAAAATAAAATATAAAGTATAAAATATATGAATGAAATAGTGATACATGTTGACAATCAAAGGAATTCCCCACCACACCCTCCAAAAAATGCCGGTAAATGTAGATGTTCACAACAAAAATATCAGATAATAAATTATTCTTCAGATAAGTCAATGAAATAAAGACAAAGTTTATTTGAACACAGTCTGACTGTTAGGTGATCCTGCTAGTTAGATTTTAATGACTATAGCAGATTCTGTACTCAAATTATATAATTTGTTAAGGCACTAGGTCAACCGTGCATACCTGTCGACAAACTATAATTAACAGCCAATGTACTCTCTTGAAATCTGTTTGGCCATTGGCTGAATTTAAAATTCAAAAATTCAGTGTATAACAACTTAATATGTTAGTATTAACAAGAAACTGAAGAGAATGGTGGTGGTTTTTTTCACAGATTCGATAGATAAGTATACTTTATTACTTTCTTAACAATAATATTAAATTACTTTAATTAGATAAGATTTATGTGATTTTGTTATTTATTTAACTTTATTACCTATTCTTTTCCCTATATTTCAGTTTTACCAAGAAAAGAACTTTTCATGGTTCCGGCTGGTGAATCATCAACAGAATTCAGACTAATCCATGAGAGGAAAAATAAGCTTATCAATTTAGAAGAATCCATGGGAGTAATATAAGCTTATTAATTTAGAAGAGAGAGTTGTGAGTATGTTGTTCTAAGAGAGAGAGAGAGAGAGAGAGATGGGGTTTAACGTCCACTCGACACAAACTAGGTCATTTCGGGACTAACAAATGGTTCAATTTTATTTCAATAATTCGCTTGCGCGTAGGGGTCTTTACCAGTGGGAGGAAACCGGAGGACTCGGGGAAAACCCGCGAGGTTGGACAGGCGACCCTACCCCTTGTCACGTACAACCGGGGATTCAAAACCACGCCAGTAGATTCAATGAAAGACTTTATGATACAGCACGCACGTGCTAACCATTCAGACATCCAACCCCCCTAATTTAGAAGAAATCATGGGCCAACTGTATTTATTCCCAAAATAAGATTTAGTAAAAAAAAAAGTCTATAGAATTCTATGGTACCCATTCCAACAGAAAACTATTGTGGCCCGATTTCCAAACTACAGAATACATAGTATTCATTCCTATACATAACTATAGAATTTCCTACAGAAAGTGCAATAAAAAAAAACCCCTATATATAGAATACTATAGTATTTACCTATAGAAATTTTGCCATAAATCTTTAGGAAAACCTATATTAGAATGTGCGCTACAGAAACTGTAGAATATTATTTCTTACAGTCCCCCCAAATTCTGTAGAATACTATAGAATTTTATCAATGGGACGCGAAAAAAAAATCTATAGATTTTCTATAGAATTCTACACTGGAATTCTGTAGGACTTTTTGCTAACAATATCCCCTACTTTTTTTGAAGAGTATATATTATATATATATATTTTGTCATTTCCAATCAATTATGCTCGGTGAAATACGTGAACAGTCCAAATTAAACGCTCGCCTTTTACGTCTACTAAGTCTAATAAATTCTACACGTTTTTTAATTGTTATTTTGCCGTTTGTGAATCAGCAATTACTAATAACTTCCGCATTGTCTTGTAGAATAGATTTGTCTTTGTTCATTACAAATGGCGCCCGAAACCATAGGGTACTGATTTTAGAATGTTCATTGTGTCTTAAATATTGGATATTAAGATCCCATATTTTCACGGCAAGATAACAGCACCAGTATTGAAATGAATTCCATTTAATGTTTTTAATTTCGAATATTATGGACAATTGAACGGGAAGAATAGACACACTCCCTCAAAAGCTCAAGTATCAGAAGCCAATCCGCCAATGGCCAGAGGGGTATTTCTCCGGCCATTGCTCCAGGAATATGGTCTGGACAGGACTTAGGCTATAATACACGAGAAGCTTTAATGACGCTTGGGAATACACTATTAGAAATCGTGAATCGTTTGGCCTAGTATCGACTGGGCCAGTTACATTACTTTGTTTTAGATGAAAATGAATACTATAAAGACTTAAATTGTTGAAAACTGGCCGAGTTGTCCAGGAAAGACTGAAATAAAATATTATGTATCGACGCTGTAGTAAAACCAGTAAACAATATTTAGGTGACATTAATGACTGGATGGACGCAGTTGTCAAAAATAGATAATTGAAATTTTAGATCTTTAGGCGACTAAAACAATCTTGTATTATGATCAAGATACCACTAATCAATCCTATCAGAGCAAACAACCCCAAAACAGAAGTTATCATAATTTATTGGAGGGCTGAAGCCAAGTGAACGACGTCAAAATATTTGTGACGTCAAATTGTTTGTGAGGTCATAAAGGTTTATGACCGAACCAAGCCGATAATGTCAATATTTTTTTTATCAAGGTCCGGATTAATCTAATATCAATCATGGTATAATGTCACAAGATGATCAACCTTCGTATCTACCTATTTACGATTTCGCAGGTAGTTCGACGACAAATTCGCACCAACAACGAAATGAAGCCACCATAATGGGAGAAAACCATCGTCTCAAAAAAGAAAATGTTGAATTATGGAAGTGCCTGCGACTTATGAGAGACAATTCGGAATTAGAAACAGCAAATCTTATATCTTCTGTCATTGCCTGGTGCGATGAAAAATTCAAACATAAATTTTGGGGTAGGCTAATCTTCGTATTTCTTTGTACATAACTTTTTAGATCTAATCACTGTTTTGAACTCAAAACTGGAATTATAGTGAGAGAAAATATGTCATAAGTTTAAAAAATGATATCTTATTAATGCACTTTCTAAATAAATTTTGGTTCAACACATCTTTAGATTAGGTTAAAGGATAATATTGTTTTTTCAGTCATTATCACATATGTGATAGAACTGGTTAAACAAGTTACAAATATTATTTTATCACAGAGATCATTGCTACGATAGATGAGTAATGAAGGGTTCAACAAACGGAAGTGACGAACGCAAAAGGGAAACACGAGTTATCCTTCTATAATATCTGACTGAAGTGACGAGTGATAACAGATACATGGGCGAATTTCTGCTTACTAATAATTTCTTCGAAGACCAAAAGTTGTTATGTGAGACTGTGAGAAGATATCTGACATTTTAAAAAAGTAATTGAATGTCATATAAGAAAACACGAAAAAAAATAGAAATAGTCCGTACATTCCCTTGTTTTTATTCATTCCATACTTCATAAAATCATGGTAATGCACGGACTTTTTTTCGTTTTCTCTTATCTAATGACAGTCAATTTCTTATTTGAATTGACACATATTCTCTCACAGTCTGACACAACAACTTTTGGTCTTCGAAGAAATTATTAGTGAGAAGAAATTCGCCCGTGTATCTGTTATCACTCGTAACTTCAGCCAGTTATATAGAAGGATAATTCGTGTTCTCCTTTTGCGTTCGTCACTTCCGTTTGTTGAAACCTTCATTATTCATATATCGTGGCAATGATCTCAGCTGTGATAAAATTATATTTAACCATTCTATCACATATGTGAATGTGATAATGATTGACACCAATATTGTCCTTTAAACAGTAAATCGGAACCTAATTCAAATTACATGTAGTAAGCCCAGGGGCCTTATTCACAAAAAAATAAAACTAATATATTTTAAAAATGCTACCCCCTCATGGGCCAAGAGCCAACATTTGTACTTGAACTATCAACCAATGAAATAATGACATCCTTAGTTTTCGTGAATAAGGCTCCGGGTCAGCAACGGAAACCGAACACAAAATTGCCAACCCATTTCGCCTAGCGGCAGATTCGACCGATCAAGCTGGCAACCTTTTCGTTGGCAACCCATTCAGAATAAAGAACAGAATCGCCCAAACTCATCTATATTTATCAACCAATAAAATTCAACCTTACATGTATAAAATGAAAGTAGAAATCGTACACTCCTACAATATTAAGCTATTCCTTTAGCTCAGAATTAAGGTGTAATTTCAGATTATCGTACAAAATTCTTAGCATCTTACTACATCTGAAAGGTAAAACAATAAGCTTTCCAAATATTATTCATAATCATATTAAAGGGGTGCACCCTCATCATAAAGTGAAAGACCGGTAAGATTCCCAGTCAAAATTCGGACCATCGTACAAAATTTTGACAATCCAACTACATATGTTCTTGAGGATAATTAAGTAAGCTTTCCAAGTAGTATTAGTAAAAGTTGACACAATCATTATTAAAGAGGTGCGCTCTCATCCTAAACATAGCCAATTTTTAAGAATATTTTAACAGGAAAGACCGTCAATATCCGGAGTGAAAATTCGGTCCATCGTACAAAATTCTGATGATCCAATTAATATATTTTGAAAGGTAATTAAATAAGCTTTCCAAATATTATTAGTAAAAGTTGGCACAATCATATTAAAGGGGCGTGCTCTCAACCTGAACATTTAAGTTCAAATTCGGATCATCGTACAAAATTCTGAGCATCCAACTGGAATATTGAAACATTGGCAAGTGTTCGGGTTGAGAGCGCGCCCAATAAATATGATTGTGCCAGCTTTTACTAATAATATTTGGAAGGCTTATTTAATTACCTTTCAGAATATTCTTAGTTGGATGCTCAGAATTTTGTACGATGGTCAGAATTTTGACTCGGGTTATTAACAGTCTTCTTTCCTTTTAAAATATTCTTAAAAATTGGTTATGCTTAGGTTGAGAGCGCACCTCTTTAATATGACTGTGCCAACTTTTACTAATAATATTTAGAAAGCTTGTTTAGTTAACTTTCAGAATATATATATATAAATGGATGCTCCGAATTTTGTGCGATTGTGCGAATTTTGACTCGGGATAGTAACGGTCTTTCCTTTTAAAATTTTTAAAAGAATGGCCATGTTTAGCCGCCATTGTTAACACTCTGATCAGCAGTGAATATTTTTTTTGCACCAAATAATGAAGACGGACATACGCTATGTCGTGTACTATGAGTGGAGAAATTTTGCCGAATTCCAACTGTCAACGTGTAGGCTACATGTGACAAGAGAAAACCACGCTGAAAACTCCAGAGCAACTATCTCGGCCGACACGGGAATCGAACCACACTGATCCGCAGTCAATATTCGCTAGGCTGCGACAATCACTGATAAAGATGACATCGATGCGACTTAATTAGCCACAAATATTAACTTTTTTCCTCCGACAAATTAAATTCTAAAACATTTTTTTTTATGTATTAGAAAAATAAATAAAGACGTTTGACGTATTTCTAGGTAAAAATTATTTCCTATTTAGTGTAAATGGATATAATTTGTTTTTTATAATTTTCACCCAAGTCAATTTTAATATAATTTTTTTTTTTATAATTTTCACCCAAGTCAATTTTAATATAATTTGATTTTTATAATTTTCACCCAAGAATTTCCACCCATCGCGTGACGTCATCTCATTTAGCCTCGTTTCCATTGTAATGTATTATGTTTTATCTTAAGCGGTGGACACACTAGCCGAATGATTCGGCCGAATCAATCGGCGTCGAAATTCGCCTAGTGTGTCCCGAATCAAACAGGTTTGATATATTCGGCCGAATTATATTCGCCTGGTGTGTCCGCTTCGCCGAAGCATTCGGTCGAATATAGAATTCATTAGCCAATCACCACTCATATCGAGAAATCAGGTGATAGATTGAAAACATAGACGCCGCCATGTTTAATCATGTGACGTGAAAGGTGATGCAATCGACAGGTTGAATCGGGCGAAGCATTCGGCTAGTGTGTCCACCCATTCGGCCGAATAAAATCCTGACCTCCATCCATAATTTGTTTGTGGACACTATACAGGTCACAATTCTTATCCGATTTTGACGAGACTTGAAATATAGCTTTATCCACAAAAGATCTAGGTTCCTTTCGATATTGGCATGTATCGGATTGAAACTTCATGAATTATGGCCCCTGATTGTACGAAAAGTCACTTTTTTTTAGCGTGTGGACACTCTAGAGGTCACAATTATCATCTGGTTTCTTTCGATATTCGCGCTTATCGGATCTTAACTTTCTGAATTACGACCCTTGATTGTACGAAAAATCTCGTTTTTAGCTTGTGGTCCCACTAGAGGTCACAATTTTGTATCCGATTAAAAAAAAAAGTTTGAATATATCACCGTTACGCCCTAATGATGATTGAGTTCGAATTTTCTGAAAATCTGATCGAAACTGCCGGACAAAATGGTCGCCCCTCGTACGCAAACTTTGAGAAAGAGAGAGAGAGAGAGAGAGAGTGTCGAGTTTAACGTCCACTCGACACAAACTAGGTCATTAGTGTTTTGGAAACGAGGCTAATTGAGATGACGTCACGCGCTGGGTGGAAATTCTTGGGTGAAAATTATAAAAATCAAATTATATTAAAATTGACTTGGGTGAAAATTATAAAAAACAAATTATATTAAACTTGACTTGGGTGAAAATTAAAATTGACTTGGGTGAAAATTATAAAAAACAAATTATATTAAAATTGACTTGGGTGAAAATTATAAAAAACAAATTATATTAAAATTGACTTGGGTGAATATTAAAAAAAACAAATTATATTATTTTTCATGTCCCTTATCAGCCACCGTACTTACATGAACATGATGTAAACATGCTTACAATAATTTTTCACCGGTAGTTTACATGTGTAAAGCAATGAATTGAAAATACTTTTATACATCAGTTAACTGTTTAACTGTCAGTGCTTAATAAAACATCATCCAGACTTTCTTGGGTAACTTTTTGACGAAATAAAACCTAGAACAACTTTATATGTAAAGCAATTAATTCAAAATACTTTTATACATCTATTTCACAGCCGGGACGGGGGTGGATGGCCGAATGGTGTACGCGTTGTATCATAAGGTCTGCCATTGAGTCAAGTCAAATGGCGCGGTTTCGATTCCCCAGTTGAACGAGACAAGGTGTAGGGTCGCCTGTCCAATCTCGTGGGTTTTCTCCGGATCCTCCGGTTTCCTTCCACTGCTATAAAATTGAACCATGTTAGTCCTGAAATGACCTAGTTTGTGTCGAGTGGACGTTAAACCCCATATCTCTCTCCTCTCCCTCTCTCTTGAGTCTTTAACTGTCAGTGCTTAATAAAAAATCATCCAGACTTTCTTGGGTAACTTTACGACGAAATAAAACCTAGAAAAACAATCAAAAAGGAGATGTTTTGTTTACCTTCAAAGATCACTCTTTGACGTACGAAACCACTTTATCTCAGTTTTATCAGTGAAACTCAAATACGTTTCCTGTAGTTTTTGATCTAAATGCATTAAACACTAACTTCATTTTCTCAGTTCTCAAATTTGTCTTTTCCGTAAAGGACGCCATTCTGGAAATTGCAGTGATTTCATTGACTAATAAGTCGGTCAGCAGTTATTTGCCATTTGTCATCGCTGAATCCTCGACAAAATGAAATCCTAAATTAAGTAATAATTTGGATATCTGTTAGCAGGTGTTTTATTTCGCGCGTGGGACCTCGTTTCGGCAACTTGGATACTTTATTGAATTTTTAAAAAATATGTTTAGCCACAACACCGATGGGTGGAACAAAAAGTTATAAAAATCTGACCCAGCTTCTGGTCTATAGATAAATAAAACAAACTTCGATGTTCACTTCAACAAAAACAATCAAATTTTAATGTATCATGCGTAGGGGTGGCTCCAGCAATTGGATCGATGTAAAACGCCGAATGACGTCATCAGTGCGCAGCGCAGTAACTCGAATTCTATTACGAAAATCGTGGACAGAAATATACATCCGATACCCGATTGATCCGCGTAATTCTACTTTTCTAGTCAAAGGTTGAACCCGTCTTTCATAATCAGTAACTTTACTGGTCTCAATATGCAGCCGTTTTAAAAGGGTGAAAAAATATCGCCATTCCCTAACCTATAGGCTGTCGCTGAAAAGTAGTGCCCGAAATTTGAAATGGATCGCTGCGCGACAATGGCTAGTCGCCTTGTGGGGCCACGCGTTCAGCAGCAATTCTTGTTTATTGATGTTTTTAATTTATTTCAAATTTTATGTTTACAGAATTAAACTCGGCGCTACAACATCACAACCTACAGTCACCTCCCAGCCCATTCCGTCCAATATCTCCAGTAGGGCCCAACCATAACGATGATTTCTACAACGCATCAGTATCTCCTCTTTCAACGTCATCACGGAAAAGTGCACACCGGTCTCGACAAAGAAGCAGATCAGTTTCACCCACCCAGGAAACTATTTACAATAGATATGCACCTTCCAGCATGTTACAATCTACACATTTAGCAGCCAACCCGAAAGGACTATATCAACCAAATTCAGGGCCCTTTTCAAAAAGAACTTTTTTCCAAGCTACGTCTCCAACTCAAGGCAGTGTTTACGATAATTATATAGCGCCACTTTTACCAACAGCTCCAATTCGCAGTCCTTCGCAATATGCAGAATCGCATTCGGTAGATCGACGGTCACAAATTCTGTCACCAACTCAAGGCAGTGTCTATGATGGCATTCTAAATAGACCATCGTCTGCACCAGTTCGCAGTCCGTCACCTTTTGATAGGCACCCACAAGTTGCATCGCCGACGCAAGGGAGTGTGTATGATAATTATACCCCGCATGATCAGCCCATATCTGTACAAGCCCTGAGCCCACCACCTGATGGAACAGTACCGGCATTAAGCAGGCGCTCACAAACAGTATCGCCAACGCAAGGAAGTGTTTATGATGAATACCTTGGAGGTCGACCACCGTCGACAAACACTACACCCCTACACAGCACTGCAAGGCTCGATAGAAGACGTTCCCCAACTTATGAACTCCCAATCTTAACGCGTAGTATTTCTCCAATCGGTTTAAACGAGACTAATTATACCAAGGAACAGCGCTCACCAAAAGGATTCAGTCCAATAGCCAGTGTTCTAATAGACAAGCCTGCAAATGCGAGTTCAACATTGCCACACGATAGAAATTCGCCTACACAATTAAATTATAGGAACCAGAATCTTGCTTATCCTCCGGGGGCACTTGAGGCACCTAGTAACTCCAGTCAAACAACACCACAATTGCCAACAATCCAAGCAATCAAAACAATGACCAGGTCACCAACGTCTCCTATGGCACAACAAAAAGATAATCCATCAACTGACTCATCTGGATTTTATCAGGAGTCATACAGCAGATATCCTTCAACGTTAGATTATAACGCCCTACAATCGTCCTCTCCATCATCTTTACATACTTCTAATATCTATCAGCAACCAGTTAAAGAGTCCAGACACATTTCAACCTCGCCTATTTTGGACCAAAAACAGCCGTCTCAGGTCCACACCCCTGGCAGTACAGGTAGACCAATGACCCGTGGAGATTTATCGTTTGGTCCGTCCCAAGATAGTGTGATAAATTCCACCGTACATGGAAGTTCCACCTTCATACCAACAATAGACGGCGACGAGAGGGTTCCAACACCCTATCCGTGCAGTCAGAAGCCTGTTCAAATCACCCAGGACATACAGCCAGGAAAAGAGGACTCTTTCCGTGTGGGTTTTGGGACACCAACTGCACATTCCACGCCTATAAAAGGTAGGTATTGAATTATCACTCATTATCTTTATTGGATTATCCCAAAGCCAACTGATACAATTGTTCTCGCGTTGACAGTCCTGTCGATGTCGCTGTTTGACTACCCCGCTTGGCGTACGACCTAAGTACAAAAGCATTAGTTCCGCATTTATTTAGTTTTCATACGACAGCTGAAAATTGATTTATCATATCGCTTCTTTTTTTATTTTCTTTATAAAAGAAGAATCATTGATTTTGGTTTTGTATTTCTTATTTACATATTATTATGTAGGGCTACAATTTTACTTGTCAAACCACGACACCAAAACACGTGGGCCCAAACGTATTAATATATTTTACTTTCCAGAGCCAAATAAAAGGTCACGCGTTAGCCCTATACCGGAACAGTTTGAAATAGAACAGTCTTTTAGGAATAGACACACGTCAAATACTGACTCTGGTAAGCCTTTCGTAAAAACCCTTTTCTCTCTCTTAAAGGACACCTAAGATGGACGACATTACTTTTCGGTACGTATAGCCAATGGTTACTATATCCACTTTACGGCAAGTTTACACCAATCTGATTAAAATTAATTCGGCTATATTCACTCAATTCGCAAAAAGAGACCTCCCGTAAAAACGACTTTGTCAATTATCGAAAAAAAACCAGACGCCAGTGACGTCACAGTGACCGAATGCATATTCGGAATGTTTATTCCTTAATTACCTTAATACAGCCAGCGTGTGTATTCATTAACGCATGACATTTAATCCCCTAATTAAATAAAACAATTGACTACGAATTAATTTGTTAATTTATTTATTTTAATTCAAGATCCAATTTAGCATTTGTTTCATAATATCCCGCCCTCTCTTCTCACGACAGCGATTTTAAAACTGTGTTTTAAAGTGACTTTTTGGTATGCAGTGCAAACGATTCGAGATACATTTCCGCCAGAAGAGTATTGTGGTTCTAATTTCCCCGAGTAAAAGAGTACAGGAAAGAAAAAATTACTCAATATACATGTACGTTAGAATTAACAGTACAAATAATTTTTTTTGTTATCCATCTAAATCGAATAACAGATAGAGAAGGATCATCTAACTATATTTGTGTATTAATAATAATATGACAAGAGTAGTGTCGTTAATATCTGTCATTAATCAATCCGACTAAAATTGCACAGACATGGGGTTATAAATTATTTTAAACCTCGATGTGGGATTAAGAATGCTAATTAGGTAATTATCTTTTTTACGCCGGCCAGATCAAAGACATTTAGGTGGAACGTGTGCGTAATATCCCACGAACGAACGAAAAAAGTTACGGGGTAACTTTTCTACAAACATTTCTCCATACCACAACTAATCGCAGAATCGTACATACGTTAATTGTATAAAATAATTAAGTTTTTACTCATCAGTTGTTTATAATTATTATTTACCCAATAATCAATTAGCTTTGTTCACCGATGTTTTTGTAATAAAGTAGCCTCGTATTATTTGTTGATTGGCGTTTAAACAACATTTAATTGACTTGATATGAAATCTGAATATATACTCTTCAGAAAAAGTAGGGGATATTCAGAAATAATACAGAACTGCAGAAATGCACTGCTGTTTTTATTAGAGGTAACCAGTGTATGTTAATAACAGGCCAATTGCCTACACATGAACATAAACAATTCATATGAGCGGCTTATCTGACGACCCCATTTCACTCGCAAAGAGATACACTGTCAAAATTGAAAATGGACGTTTTTGATTTTTGTCTTAATAAAGAGTAATTGCACCACCAATCCTCAGACATTCAGCAATTCGTCGTTGCATGCTCCTAATCAACCGTCCAATCACGATTTGGGGCAATCTGACCCACTCCTCTTGCAATGCCACGTCTAATAGGGGAAAAGTCAGGATTCATGGCTGGACAAGGCATATAGACAATATGGTGACGCTGGAGGCAGTCATTCACGACACGAGCGCGGTGGGCACGGGCATTATCACCTTGAAAGATGAACCGTCGACCTGCACATTGAGCAAAAGGGCAGAACTATTGGTGCCATGATGTGGTCACGGTAGTATACACCAGTGACCGTGGCTAAGTGGGTAAGACGCTGGCTCGCTAGCCTGGAGGTCGGGTGTTCGATCCCTGCATTGGCCGAGAAAGTTCATCCAGATTTTCCGGCGTGGTTCCCCCTTGTCAGTGATGCAGGACGGAGGGCCTGACAAGGACAGCTGTCTAGTCGTTCGGATGGGACGAAAAACCGAGGTCCCGTGTACACATTGGCGTGCGCGTAAAAGATCCCTTGACAGTTGGAATTCGATATAAGAGTACATGTAGGCCGTAGTGCCGCTGTCCGGGCAAAATTTCCCTCATAGCACACTGTATAGCGTATGCCCGTCTTCATTAGCCCAGTCCGGAGCAAAACAGTAGGTCGTTAAACCCCATTTCATTTCATTTTTACTTCCTTGAACAATATGCAAATCCGTTCTGCCAGTCATGGTGATTCCTCCCCACACCATAACAGACCCAAGCCCGAATCTGTACGTGAAATCCAGAGTAAATCTGGATTCATCTGAGAACATTACACCCGCCCATCGACGATTACCCCAATTTCTGCGCTGCCTACACCATTGACGCCTGTTTGCCATGTGCTGGCGAGTTAATGGAGGCACAACACGCGGTCGTCGCGCATGCAAATGGGCTGCATGTAGCCGATTTCTAATTGTTTGGGCTGTAACTCGAATTCCTGTAACTTGGCACAAGTTTATAGAAAGCTGATTGGCCGTTTGTCATCGATTTCGCAGATCTGTGTACGAATGTATCGATCTTGGGCTTGTGAAGTGGCTCTAGGACGACCTGAACGAGGTCTATAATCAGCATTGTTTGTTTGTTGGTACCGGTTCAAGAGTCTGCTGATCACAGACTGTGACACATTACGCATGTTCGCTACTGCTCGCTGTGTAAAACCCATTTGAAGCATGCCAATACCACGTAGACGTCTCATTGCAAATTAAACGTAACACACTAAAGCAAAGATACGCTAAACAGTAAATCTTATGCAAGAACCGATAGGAAAGCAAACATGAATAGGATAAACCAGCACGCGGCAGTTTTCATCAACCCTTCCTTGAAGTGTCAGATTTGGCAATGAACCCCTCCCACATGTATGGCGCTATTGCGTGTCGCACGTGCAGCTCAGGTGCTTTGTTGGGGCGATACGTTCTTCATCTGTGAACATAATCTCAAAGCATGTCAAGTGTCCAAGACTATTTATTATATCACAACCTGCATAGATATTTGCATTTCAATATCCCCTACTTTTTTGAAGAGTATATATTATTCGATGGATAGACTGTTGTGATAAGATTAGGTTTTAATGTCTAACATCGTTTAACTTCTTTATAATAAAGGTATTTTACAATTACATTGACAGTTTAATCACTCACCAAACGGCATCAGGAACTCCACGTATGATCACGTGTATTTGATATTCACGTCCACGAATCCTATGCAATTTTCGCGCCAAAACTTAACCTCAGTTACTACGCCCGTAGTATGCATGGAATCGTACATGGTAATAAGATTCCCGGTGTTGATTGGCTGAGAAATGAGGGCGATCTATTGTTATGCATAGTCATCGGAAAATTCCATATTCGCTGTGAATTTCAAATGGAGTTACGACAAAAGTTGTTCTTTGTGTATAGAAATGTTGGGATATCAAGTATTACGGGGCTATCCAAATTACTGGTAAATGCGCTAATTGCTTAGGTCGTCTTCATTTGTCACGTGGCCTTTTTAAACAATGGCACCTTAAATGGATCTACGGCATGATACGGTATTCACTCTTAATTCACTCTAAAATATCCCAATCACAAATGTCTAATCTATAACAATGCAAAACGATAATTCGGTGATTATGATTAGGTCAGTCACATGTTAATTGGACCGTCAATACACACTTGTCAACTGGCGGTGTGTATAGACAGTGCTATATTGTATATTATATAGATAATGTATAAATGTAGTCCCTGTAACGTCACCAACCAATCAACCGGATTAAGGTCATAATTGAAAAATTGAAAAGCGTTTTGGCATGTTTTATTCTTAAACGTTAATAGCCGAATTAATTTTAATCAGGTTGGCGTGAACTTGCCGTAAAGTGGATATAGTAATCATTGGCTTTTTCGTACATGCAATTTAGATTTTTCACCTTATGTGGTCTTTAAGATTGACTTGCTCAGTATCATAAAGTGGGACTTATAAAATGACTTAATACAAATGAAATGAAATGGGGTTTAATATCCTACTGTTCTGCTCCGATTGGGCTAATTAAGACCGGCATACGCCATGCCATACAGTGTGCTATAGGATAAATTTTGCCCGGACAGTGGCGCTATGGCCTACTCTTATATCGTTATATCGAATTCCAACTGCCAAGGGTTCTTTTACGTGTACGCCAATGTGTACACGGTACCTCGGCTTTTCGTCCCACCCGAACGACTATACGTTGTCTCTTGACAGGACCTCCGTCCTGCACCACTGACAAGGGGAACCACGCATGAAAATCCCGATGAACTTTCTCGGACAACGCAGGGATCGAACACCCGACCTCCAGGCTAGCGAGCCAGCGTCTTACCCACTTAGCCACCGTGATCCCCTCTTTTTAATACATGTACCTATATTTTATTAGCATTAGGCTACACATAGATTAATTGAAATTAGATTTGCGAGCCAACGTTATACTCACTGAGACACCGTGGCTCCTGGAATTCGTGCAAAACAAACCTTTATAGTATATACCCAAATATCATTGGGGGTTAGTTAATGTGCAGATGGCGCGATCAACTGATAAACTGTGGCTTCAAGATATTTTAGAAACGCCTAAAGTTATGCTTTAAAAGTAAATCCGAAGCCACGCCCAAACAAAGTTGAAACCGGATTACTGATTCTTCTATCTATAGAAAACTAACCAGAATCCGCCCTGTGTGTTATTGATATTTGCACGACTATAATGTTTTGGTTTTTTTTCTTTCAGTTTCAGCACAATCTTCTGCTAGCTGGCAAACCCAAACAAGCGGAACTTCCGTTGTCAGATCAGCAACATTCCGTCCATCACATCGTCTTCTGGGTGAAATAAGTTTCCAGTTAGAGAGACGCATACTTGATTATATATTCGCCAAACGAGTAAAGGGTCAAAAAGAAAGACTACATCGTCGTTTCTATGGTTACACGGTTTCTAATATTCCCTCTATGATAACAAGAGAATCAATAGGTAAAGATGGTAAACTCGATCTAAAAAAGAAAGTGACTTACCAATTTAGATACGATTACATCATTAAAAGTTTGGTTTCTTTTGGTTACATACTGGAGAAACACAGTCAGTTCAGTTTAAAAATGATAAATAGATACGGTCTTCTAACGCAGCCTCCAGATCGACAAACCATGGAGATGTTCGGACTTCAAAATCCAAACACTTTACGTATGTTTGTTACTAAATTAGCTTCCAGTGAAAAAGAGAGAGCCAATATGATGATACTACTGGAGAGTTTGTTACTTCTAGCCCATGATGATGGCCAGTCTATATTTATGTGGTAAGAAAACAAGAGAAAGAAATAGAAAACTAACGAAATGCCATTTATTTCAATTTCTTTGCATTAAATTGTATTTATTTGTACAAATAAATCAAAATCCCAACACATTAAATATATAATTTTCCGTCTTGCTGTCCAAGCCGTGTCCGATCTCTGTAGGGTGGTAGTGTGATATCAACCGAACTTGATATTCATGCCCTCTTAAATACAATGGCGCGCTTTGTCTTCAAGTGTCAACCCTCGAACATGAAATGAAATGAAATGGGGTTTAACGTCCTACTGTTCTGCTCCTAACCTGGGCTAATGAAGACGGGCATACGCCATACAGTGTGCTATGAGGGAAATTTTGCCCGGACAGCGGCACTATCGCCTACTCTTATATCGAACTCCAACTGCCAAGGGATCTTTTACACGGGACCTCAGTTTTTCATATCATCCGAAGGACTAGACAGCTGTCCTTGTCAGGCCCTCCGTCCTGCATCACTGACAAGGGGGAACCACGCCGGAAAATCTGGATGAACTTTCCCGGCCAATGCAGGGATCGAACACCCGACCTCCAGGCTAGCGAGCCAGGTCTTACCCACTTAGCCACCGTGATCCCCCCCTCGAACACCCTTGCCTCTTCCATAGAACTGAGTATGTCGTATTGGCCCTAACTATATATATATTTAAAAGCCACATTTTATACCACATGTTTGCACCATAAAATCGTAATTTTCAACATTTCCATATATTAATTATATATTAATGGAAATTATTTGGATGGACAACGTTAGGTTCATTATTATTATTATTACAACCATAATCGATATTTGTATTTGAGAACATATCTATAGCATTTTCCTCCTCTCTTTGAAAATAATTACAATGTACCATAAAATGGAGATAAATGACGTACATTCCATTTCTGACCATTATCAACTATAACAGTACTTTGACCAACTTTAAACGTAATTCGAAATGGATCCGTATATTTACTTTGGCCCTTAGGTACATACCAACGCTTTTTAATTCTTACAAGATCGCCTGGATTAAAAGTTCGAATAGTTGCTCCTTTACGAGTATCCGTGTAAGATTTACTTGAATCTTGTTTGATCTTAACATGCTGATCTATGTCAGAATTGGAAAGTGGAGTTGGATGTTCTGTAATCCCAATTATGTCAAGTAAAGTACGCATATATCGTCCGTGTAATACGTTAGATGGGGATTCACCGGTTGCAGTGTGTCGCTTTTCACTATAAGTACCAAGAAATTCGGTTACAGCAGTAGTAACGTTATTGTTTTCAAACCGAGCTGACTAAATAACTTCACTTAAAATTCGGTTAAATCTTTCGATTTCACTGTTACCTTGGGGTGATAATTAGATGAAAATCTATGTGTTACATCCATTTTACGCAGAAATTCACTAAATTCGCGAGATTTAAATTGAGAACCGTTATCGGTTACAATTTCTTTAGGAATCATAGGATAACCCTCGCGGTTAAATATGCTAATGAAGAAGGCAATTGTGGTAAATGTAGTAATATTACGGGTAAAAGCAACTTCTGACCATTTACTTTGGTAATCACTTAATGTAATCATGAACCTTTCGTGTTCAGGAGCAGAATAGTCTGAACCCACAAAATCAATGCCAAGTTTCTCCCAAGCAGTTTCTGGAAGTTGAACGGGTTGCATAGGCGCTGTACGCGTAGCAGACTTATCGTTATACTGACAAGTAACGCAATTTTTAATACTTTCGTTCACATGATAATCCATTAAAATTTTAGGCCGCCAATAGAGATCTCGTAATCTCTGCTCAGTTTTAACAATACCCTGATGGTCCGTGTGTGCTAACTGAATTAATCGCGTTTGTAATTTTGAAGGTACTATTACACGACTACCACGAAATACATATAATATTATCATGAACGGATAATTCATCGCGTATTGTATAAAATTGTTTAGAATCATGAACCGTATCTTTGGCTGAAGTAGGCCATCTATCGCGAAGTTATGAAATTAACTGAGAACACGTAGGATCACTAAAAATTGATTCTTTATGTTCTGTAGACTTAATAACTGTATCACTGGCTGAAAGCGTAATGTGACAAACGGCGTCGCAATCTTCGATTATTGCTGGAGTTGAGGTAATTAAAGGTAAACGACTTGACGCGTCGGCCACTTTATTTTGAGAACCTGGTTTGAGCTCAACTGTGTAGTTGTAATGAAGTAACCGTGTATTCCACCGTGCAATACGCATTGGCTTGTGACCTGGACCGGAAGTACCTAATAAAGCTGTTAGAGCTCGATGATCCGTACGTAATACGAACTTTCGACCCCACAGATACGTATGCTATTTTTCAACTGACCATACACACGCAAGCGCTTCGCGTTCCCCGACTGAGTGGGTTTTTTTTTCAGCCGGAGTAAGACTCCTATAGACGCACAAGCTACAAGAACCTCTGCTCCGATTTTTAATTGTGCTAGAACGGCACCTAAGCCGTACGCGCTGGCATCGGTTGTAACGACGACAGGTAAATCTGGATCGAATAAGGAGAAGACTGGACTGGAATTTGATTCTTGATCGTTGAAAACGCTTTGTCGGCATCGGGTGTCCATACAAATTTACCAAATTTATCAGCTTGCATAGCAGACCGTAGCGGTTGAATTACCATAGCGAAATTAGGAACAGATTTAGAATAGTATCCCGTTTACCCAAGAAATGAACGGCATTGGTCCTTTGTAGAAGGAATGGGTGCTTAGCGGATAGCTTGGACAAGCTCCGGATTTGGACGAATACCGTCGGCATCGATTGACCAAGTACGTGTAGTTTGGAAACATTAAATTCGCACTTTTCGTTTAAAGTTATTCCGGAATCACGATGTTTTAACAAAACTGTGCGTAAATTTTCAACGTGTTCAGCTTTAGTATGACCATAAACTATTATATCGTCAAGATAACATATTGTACCGTTTAATTTACTCAAAATCTGAGACATCACTTTTTGAAAAAAAGTCGGTGCTGAAGGAGTCCGAAACAAACACGTTTGAATCGGAATAAGCCGTCAAGCGTAATGAAAGCTGTAAGCTCTCGGCTCTCTTTACTTAAATTAAGCTGGTGATAGGCCGAGGCCGATATAAAGACCACATAAGACGAAAAATCTAAATTTCATGTACGTATAGCCAATGGTTACTATATGCACTTTTGTAGTAATATGATAGGCAAGAATTTGTTCTTAGAAATATCTATGTAAAATAATATTATGGTTTTGATTAATTATTCTCCATTGTCAAAATTTTAGCTATGGTATAAGTTAATTCTGAAACGCAAATTTAAAGTGTTTATGAAATATGGTGACAATAACAAGACATGGGGTCTAAAGACAAGAATGTAGAAATATGATGGCTAGAACAATAGCGTTATCTTTCATATTATTGATTCTATCTTCATAACCACAAATATAGAAAGTATATGCTGGTTATGGTGATACGTTAAAGATACATTATGGGAGATAAGATAAAGAGATGGCAGTTCTCGCTATAATAGTTAAAAACTAGATAGTGTAAAGGTAATTTGCTGAAAATTTCAGTCAAATTGATTCACTATGAGCCGAGAAAGAAGCGGGTGAAATTTTTGCATAATTTTGGTCATCATTACTAAAATCATTAATATAAACAGCATAGTCTCGATTATCCAACATCGAATTCTAGCCTTGGCATCGAGATTTTATTATGGTCTGGATACGTTAATTAATGTCTAATTGATAATTTAGATAACATTTCAGGCCTAAAGAAAGACTTGTAATAAGCAGATTTTGCTCTTGCATAATGCATGTTTAACTAAGCTATAGATTAATGAACATGTTGGTCATACACATTTTTATACGCCCACATTTTCATGTGGACGTATATTGTCGTCGCCCCTGTCCATATGTTGTTTAAACGCCAATCAACAAATAATACGAGGCTACTTTATTACAAAAACATCGGTTGGCAATAATTATTGGGTAAATAATAATTATAAACAACTGAGTAAAACTTAATTATTTTATACAATTAACGTGTGTAGGATTCTACGATTATTTCGTTCGTGGGGTATTACGCACACGTTCCACCTGCAGTGATGTCTTTGATCTGGTCGGCATAAAAAAAGATAATTACCTAATCAGCATTCTTAATTTATTGATTAATGACAGATATAAACGACACTAGACTTGCCATAAGTTTATAACCCAAAGATCTCGGTTCCTTTCGATATTCGCGCATATCGGACCGTAACTTCCTGAATTATGGCCCCTGATTGTACGAAAAATCGCGTTTTTAGCTTGTGGACCCTATAGAGGTCGTAATTTTTATCCGATTTAAAAAAAAAACGTATTATTATATCACCGTTACACCCTAAGGATGGCTGCGTTCGAATTTCGTGAAAATCGGCCGAAAATTGACAGACAAAATGGCCGCCATTCGTTCTCAAATAGAGTAAAAAATATGGTATATCAAGGTTGTGGACCCTATAGAGGTCACAATTTTTATCCGATTTTGTTGAAACTTGAAATGTAAGTTTATAACCCAAAGATCTCGGTTCCTTTCGATATTCGCGCATATCGGACCGTAACTTCCCGAATTATGTCCCCTGATTGTACGAAAAATCGCGTTTTTAGCTTGTGGACTCTATAGAGGTCATAATTTTTATCCGATTTAAAAAACCGTATAATTATATCACCGTTACACCCTAAGGACGGCTGAGTTCGAATTTCATGAAAATCGGCCTAAAATTGACAGACAAAATGGCCGCCCTTCGTTCTCAAATAGCGTAAAAATATGGTATATCAAGGTTGTGGACCCTATAGAGGTCACAATTTTTATCCGATTTTGTTGAAACTTGAAATGTAAGTTATAACACAAAGATCTCGGTTCCTTTCGATTTTTGTGCATATCGAATTGTAATTTCCTGAATTATGGCCCTTGATTGTAGGAAAAATCACTTTCTGTTTAGCTTGTTCTCTATCCATCTCTCGAAAATGTGGGCGTATCCTGCCTGGCAGCTGCTGGTTCTTTG